GCCCTTTGGATAGCTCCNCGATGGAATCTCGGTCAAGCAGCAGACGCCAGGTCTTACTCTGCAACCCGGCATCTGTGCGAGGCCTGAGCGGCGCCCAGACGACGCGCTCAGACACTCGGTGCAACCTTTCTCCGACAAGTAAATAAACACCACGCAAGTAGACTCTATAGCTCTCTATCGAATACAACCTCTTGTATACCTCGCGATTGCTCCCTAGAGCGCAGCCCCTTACAAGGCCTAGAAGTTCTTATAAGTTTTAAAACTTTTTAACGTATAGATAAGGCTATTTAAGCTACTTGAGAGTTTTTATAAGTTCTTAGAAGTTATTACTAAGTTACTAAAGTAGGCCTAAGTACTTTAAATACGTAAAGCGTAATATATAAGCTATAGCTTTTTATACGCCTAAAAGCTTATAGAAGTTTTTAGTATATAGGTCTTATTATTTGATTAGTATAAAAGTTTATGAAAGTCCATAGAAGCTTAAGATAGTTATAGTAGTAGAGTAATAGTAGTATACGCTAAGTATTATAGTAACGCTATACGCAACGTTTATAATTACGCGTTTTTAGCTTTAAGAGAGTACTTTATAGTTACTATAATACTATTATTATTATTTATTTATATATAGTAAATAAACAATACTTACGCTTTAAAATAAGTTTAGAAAAATGCTATATTTAATAGTAGTAGTAAGATATTAATAAATTTATAATAGAATTTCTAGTATTTAGTTTAATTTCTACTAAAGTAGAAACTAAAAATCTTTAAATGCTTTACTAATGCTTTTATAGTTATTTTACGTAATTATATATAATTAGCCTAGAAGTTAGTAAGAGTTTTAGCGAGAACGCTAGGCGTTAGTGTCAAACTAGCGTTGTGGGCGGAGCGTCTGATTTATGAGATAAGCGATACCTACCTAGCGTCGCGCGCCTATGGGCACTGATCTGGGCCGCCTTCACCCACTCAAGACTTGCATCTCAACCCTCGTGTTTTCCAACATCGGCGGGACGAAGCCACATCCATCTCCACCTTTCGATAACCTTCAATACAAGGCTGGTGTGTCGGGAAGCCTTCAGCTTGTACATCACGCGTTCATGCGCGCTTACCTCGGCACAAGCACAATCTAGCTTCTCAACACTCCACGCCCTTCAAACGCGACAATGGCAATTTCGGAGTCGTCGCCGCTACTACGGCAAGAGTCAACTACATCTTACGCGCCCGATGAAGAACATGAAGACGCCCCAGCACCTCGAAGCACGTTTGCTCGCAATCTCGGGGCACTCGACGGTTTTGCTCTACTGATAAGCATCGTCATCGGATCAGGTGTCTTTTCATCTCCGGGCCCCATCGATGCAAATGTCCCCTCACCCGGTGCAGGGCTCCTGGTTTGGCTTGTTGGTGGTGTTCTTGCTTGGACAGGCGCGCTTACCATGGCCGAGTTGGGGACAGCGTTCCCTGGCGAGGGCGGAATCCAGCCATACCTTACCTACATCTACGGCGATGTGTTTGGGTACATGGCGGCCTGGTCTTGGGTTGTTGCTACTATGCCGGCTACTCTTGCAATCCTCAGCATTGTCTTTGTTGAGTCCATACACTCCAGCTTGGGTATCAACGAGCCTGACCCGCCCATGACTCACAAGCTATTGTCTCTGCTCGTTCTGGTGTGCGTTACGACCCTAAACTCCATCAGCACCAAAACCAGCACCCGGCTGTCGAGCTTCTTTGTTGCCATCAAGCTGCTCACAATCTTTCTCCTAATCATAGCTGGGCTAGTTGTAGTCTTTGTCTTTCTCGGAAAGAACAAGGACCTGGGCGGGCACGATTGGCGCAAGAAGAATTGGTTCTCACCCCGTGACACGGTGCTACCTGATGGATCGCGCTTTGACTGGACCAAGGTGACTACGTGGGAGTCACTGGGATTCTACAGCACTGCACTGTACGGGGCTCTGTGGGCATACTCTGGTTGGGACAAGGCAAATTATGTGGCAGCCGAACTTCGCAATCCCAGCCGCCAGCTGCCTCTTTCCATCAATACCGCGATTCCAACAATCATTGTTTGCTACGTAGCAGCCAATGCTGTTTACTATGTACTGCTTCCATGGGAAGTGGTTTCGACAACCGACGCCGCTGCAGTGGTGAGTATCAGTGTACAAAGTATATATTGGTCATACTGACGTTCAGCAGACGGCTGTGACGCACTTTCTCGGGAAAGGTGTGGCCTACTTCGCGACCGCTCTCATATGCCTAGTCATTGCCGGTTCCGCACTCGGCAACTCGTTCGTGGCTGGAAGAATGACTGTGGCGGCAGCGAATAACAACTGGTTCCCACGTATTCTTGGTACGGTTGGCTACATCGGCAGTATAAAGGTGAAAAATACCGTCGAGGCAAGTGAGCCAGCGGATCTCGCATTAGACAATGACGAGTCCCCAATGTAAGTGTTGTTCGGAACCTCGTCCAGCCCTTCTAATGGCCACTAGCAATGCACTCATTCTCAACACTGTTCTTTCTGCAGTTTACATATTGCTTGGCAATATGCGCATCCTGCTTACCCTCAATGGCCTTGCAGAGTATGCATTCTTCTTCCTAACCGTGCTCGGCGCCATCATTCTTCGATACCGGGAGCCAGAGTTGCCTCGGCCTGTAAAGCCTTTTATCCTTGTGCCTATACTGTTCGCTGTCATCAGCGGTTTTGTTGTCATTAGAGGTGCTGTCTTTGCTCCTATCCAGGCCGTCGTTCTTGTAGGTATATGGGCCTTTGGACTGGTGTTTTATTACCTCAGGATACGCGTCTTGGAGAGGAGATCGAGAGAATAGGAATATTGGCATTTTGATTCCAACTACAATATCGAAATCTAGGTAATGAATGTCACTTGAGATTTTGTAGCGCTAGACGCGGCGTAGACGTATCCATGTATTACATTTAACGTCCCTACTCAACATGCGGTGGAGATGATTGGCCAGTTGCAACTATTGTCTCGGCCCGCGCTTTCTCATCTACTAAGATACATCCGAGGTAAAGGTCGTTCGCTTCAGTTGCTTGCTTTGGTATTAACCGAGATGCTATAAGCCGCCAACAGCTCATGTTAGCAGCCATGTAGAGTCTTCAGAATCGCCTCTGTCACTAACATGGTGCCACGGCCGTACTTTACGCAAGACAAGAAAGTGCTTCCTTTTGACAAAGTTATTGAGCTAGAACGCATCGACGACTCGACATTCCGCTCAATTATCAAAGCTTACGCGCCGACAGGCGAGAAAAGCGGCGCGTACGGCGGTCATGTGTTCGCGCAAGCAGCATGGGCGGCTGCACAAACTGTGCAAGAGGGATACCTGATACACGTGAGTTGTGACCCAGCTCTGCTTCTGTAAATCAGCTAAAGAGCCCGTCAGGATATTACAGGTTGGTTCGTTTTAGCTGGACAGTCCAACGAGCACTATACGTACAGAGTGCAGAAGATACGAGATGGTTACAACTACTGCATTCGCACCGTAACTGTGAGACAGGTTGAAGCCAAGGGAGAAATGTTCACGTGCACATGTTCATTCAAGCGAGAAGAGAACTCATCCGTCGACGTGCAAGAGCAAGTCAATCTCAAAGAAACATTCCAGGATGCGTTAAAGGGAAAAGAAGACGAGCCAATGGAGCACCCCTCAATTCCCAGCGTTGACTCTGCAGAGTTTCGCGAAGTATACCTTCCAGCACATCCAGAACACTTTAATCCCTTTGGAGGCCTCCACATGCGAAAAGTCGACATGTCAGACTACAACGCCACCCGCACGCCCCTTGAACGGAAACAGCTGCAATTCTACACGCTGCGTGGGTCCCTACCACTACCAACAGCGCCTTATCCGCCTTTGCCCAATCCTGGACAAGCCGCAGCTTTGACGAGGGAAGCAAACATGCATGCATGCGCTCACCTGTATGCCTCTGACTGCCATTCCCTCTTCATCGTACCAAACCACCTAGACCGACCCTGGGACTTCACACGCATGGGCTCTCTGTGCCATAGTGTTGTCTTTCACGTGGGCATCAAGGATCTCATTATGCAGCCTGAGCCACGCATCGATCACCCGAATGCCGATCCAACGTTGTGGGAAGATGGCTCATTGCCGCTATGCAATATCGATGGCTATGGGCAGGGCGACAAGGATGGTCGGAAGTGGTTTGTGCAAGAGTCGTGGCTCACGCGTGCTGCGGGTGGAAGAGCACTGCATAGGGGTCGCTTGTGGGACTATCATAGCGGGGTGCATATTGCGACGACTTTCCAAGATGGCTTGGTCCGATTCAAAGATAATGCGAAGCTATAGCCTTTTTTACCTTGATGATAGGAACTCGGATGGTGCAGCGATTGCCGCCAGAGCGTAAGATGGTAGGCATCAAATCCAGAGACCAAAGCCGTGTTTCACGACCCTGTTCCAAACAGTTCAAATCGTCTCATACGTTACCATTCTTGCAAGCCATGCATTTATTCATAACCGGTCGAATGGTTCCTCTTCTACTAAATACTTCCAAGTTGCGGGTTTACTTATGTATACACAGCCTGACTATACGACAATGGGCTAGCGCCGGATACTTTGTATACACATATGTATCCGAATTGACCACAAACAGCAATAACGGAGACTTAGTCATGAAAGGCTGCCTAAAGATAAAAGGGCTTCTATACCAAAAGAGGCATCAGAAATGTTCGTTGATTAGTCCGTTGGAGTTGGACATGTGAGCTTTATCTCAGCCACAAATGTCAGCTCGTCTTACATACATAGCTCAAGTATAAGTACCGCATCGAGCGCCTCGTTAATCTTGCATCTCTAACGTTGAATCAGCCCAAAGAAAGAACAATCCATACTTCTGGAAAAATGAGTGAGTCAGCAAAGCCCTTTGGCGAGTTATTCGGCGACCTCGCAGCCAAATACGAAGCCTCTACTGGTGGCTGCACTCGGGAAATAGCCACCCACCTCATCGACATTCTGCCTCGAGTGGACGCCGACTCTGTTGTTTTGGATAATGCGTGTGGAAACGGCATCGTCGCGCAAGAGCTCCTATTCAAATACCCCGACACGCCGCTGAACATGACGTGCGTCGATGGCTCAAAGGCCATGGTCGACCTAGCACGCCACATGGTTCCTGCAGTACCCTCAGCAGCTACCGTATCCTTTGATATCATGGACGGCACAAGTCTCTCGCTCCCCGACGACACGTATACGCATTCCGTAACCAACATGGGCATCTTCTTCTTCGGCGACACCGAAAAGGGCGCTCAGGAAATTTACCGCACCCTCAAGCCCGGCGGCACCGCAATCGCCACATCTTGGAACCCTCCAGGCTATCTGCCTGTCATCCACGCGGCGCAAAAAGCCGTCAAGCCGGATGCGCCGTTGCTCAAGTGGCCCATGTCTGAGGCGTGGTTTCTGGCCTCGCATCTGCAGGAGATGCTGGAAAAGGGCGGGTTTAGGAACGTGGAGATTCACGAGAAGGCTTCTTGTTTTGGTGCAAAGAGTATCGAGGAGACGTGCGGTTACTTGGTTGGAATGTGGAAACAGATTGGCCCCAAGTGGACTGAGCATGAAAACGCTCAGTTCGAAAAACAGCTCATTGAAGCTGGGAAGAAAGCAGCTGTGACTGTAAAGCGGCCAGTAAATGGTCAGAAGGGCGCGGAGATTGTGGAAGTTGTCGGGTTTCCAATGGTAGCGCACGTTGCTGTGGCGAAGAAGTGAGCGTCAAGTACGTCAAGAAACTGCCGTGGTATAAGATGCTGGGATCATTCCACTTTTTTTTCAAAGTGTTTTTTTGTCCTATATTATGTGAGACAAGATGGGAAGAGCTAAATGCAACAAACATCTGCTACTTGTGAATAGGCACTAGGTAGTACCAGCGCAATGTCTCATGTGCCGCCTCGCATCAAGGGCCAATCGGGTTAGAGCTCCATCCAGTTAAAAAGCGTTACTATCTGTGTGACATACTATAGTGTATGTAATATTCTACCTTTTTCTAATCTAGAGTAAGAGTCGAGATTTATATACAATGTCTAGATAACGTTTTACTGATATTTCAATGGCTCCTATTTTTATGCTAATTCTTTTCTACTTTTTACATTCTTTTTAAATAAATTGTAGTATAATTTTCGTAATAAAAATATACCATTGAATTAGTAAGTACTTAGTTTAATATCTAGAAAGAGAAATTGGTATTAAAAGAGGGCGGATAAAATTCCTACCTCTTATGCAATACCTAATCCCCTTCCACCATGGCTACCCCTCAGCGACGCGCGTTTCTACCCCCACCCGCCCCCCACTTACTATCTCGGTAATCAGATCTTCAGTAGCTCCGCCCATCTGCTATGATCGTTGAAAATGCTTACGTGCAAGGACCAGTAAGCAGTTCGAGGGATCCAGCCTGAAACGCTGCTCCGCAATCCTTCCAACCGTGCCGCACTCACGTGACCTGCCCAGTGGTCAGTATGCCTTGGCACTACTAAGCATCTGAGGCGTGTGCATGCCAAGCTACAAAATGCTCAGTGATTAGTACTTCTTGGCAGGATTGAATGACTGAGTAAGCTGCATACACCCAAGTATACAGCAATAGGCACTGAGCCCTTAAGGTTGATTGTGTTAAACTCAACTAGTTAATTCAAGAGTTACCCTTACAGCTACTTCTCAGCAACGCACTTCTGATTAGCATATGATGGTCCTACAGCACCCTGTCTGTCGTTCGCGAAACCAGTTTCTTAAAGCCCTAAAACCACGTATTCTATTGGTATACCCACTCACTGTATCGTAGCATTAAGTAACGATATGAACTTATACGCGTTATACGTGTTATACGAGGGTGACACAGGATATGCTAAGCTTGTCTAATCAGGTCTTTGATAAGGCTCATAAACCAAAAATAGCGCTCGTATTGGTTATCTCGCAACGCGGGCGGGAACGAGTTTAAGGGGCTTGTCAGGTGGTTGTTCGATCATCCAATTCTAAAAATATAAAATGACCAGTTGCAATCTGGTTATTACTAAGCATGTAATTACAGGTTAGCTTAGCTACACTGATGTAGGTTGAATTGAACTAGGTGCGGGAATGGACGATGTGGAGAACTGAATGAGGGTGGTCCCTCCAGTGTATAGTAGACTCACATTTACCCCAAACCGTTGGCGTAATAGACGCTACAACAGCTGGAGGTTATAGCGGCTAATCTTCGAGTTTTATCATATGTCAAATATGCTTACTAGTACTTACATGCCATGACGCTTCAATTCTGTCAGTAGTTGTACGTGAGCCATGGGATGTGTACACTAATATCATTTGCGACCATATCAGAAACAGTAAAAAGCAAAAGTCAATTCCAAATTACTGCTACGTCTCTGAAGAAGTATAGGATTTTGACAAGGACACTGTTACATCTAGATGTGTTAGAGTCGCTAGTTTCAACTTTATAGCACCCCTGTTAATTAGTCACTTACTATAGACTAAGCAAGCGATTATAACAATAGTTGGTGCGATGTATAAAAGTAAAATTTGGTTATAACTACAATCGATATAGTTATCGAATATATATAAATAGAGAAGAAAAAGAGTGTAATGTTGTCCTCCTAGACTGAGCCATAAAATAACCCCGCTAGGTATCGGTGAGAAAATTGTGTTGCTTATGCGTAGTTTGAAGCACCCTTGGTGGACTTGTTGGAAGTCAAGTCGACATCCTTCACCACAACTTCGCTGCCAGTGTCGGAAGTGACCCTGACCCAAGCAGTAGGGGTGTTGGTACCGCCAGATCCAGGGAAGGTGAAGAAGTTGTTGACGTTACGAGTAGTTGCCTTCCACGTGTTTCCACCATCGCTGGAGACTTCCAACTTTGCGGTGTGAAGCCTGGCGTTGACGACGGTGGCTGCGAACCACCACTGGGAAGCACCGCCGTGCATGCGGATCTCAAGCGGGGTGGTGATCGGGCACGCCACATATTGCCAGTTTGTGGTAATCTCACCAAGGCTCTTGTCTTCAAGATTGGAGAACATGTTGGGCGATAGATCCAAGTGGACTGAGTCACCTCCGGTTTTGTTGGTAATCTGTCACAATGTGAGTATTATAGCAAGCACAGTACTTTTTAGGGACTTGCTCACCATGGCAATCTTCTTCTTGCCCTGGTATGTGATTTCGACACAGGCACCGCAATGGTATGAGCTGTTCCAGATCACCTCAGAAACGCAGGTGGATCCGTCAATTGTAGCAGGGAGCGTATAGTCGACAAAGGCGCAGGCACCCTTTTGCCAGCACTCTTCTTCTCCACAAGATTCTCCGTACCAGGTGGTATCTCCTTTGAAAATCTGGCCATTAGCGGCCGTGTCGGGAGGAGACGAGGTGCCAGGAGACGAGGCGTTAGGAGGAGACGAGGCGACAGGGGCGGTCGAGTCGGCAGCGGGGGAGGCGACAGGGGGGGATGAGGCGACATGAGCGGGCGTCATGCTAGAAGCGCCTGCGCCCTCCTTGTGACAGCCGCTGTTTGCAGGAACAGCTACAGCAGAAGCAAAAGACGCCAGAGCCAAAATGGCTGCGGAGCATGTAGAAGCGAATCGGACCATTTTAGATAGATGGTTTGTCTGCGGGGTTAAAAAATGAGGGACTAGGATGAGTGCCGAATCAATCGATGGATGAATGAATGGAACAATAGGTGGGTGAATGAAACAATGAGTGAATGAATGAAATGACCAAGACTGCAGAAGATGCTTGATTGTTACTTGGCTTTATAAAGTGATCGATATACCGCTTGGCGGTCGAGGGGACGGGATCTCTGGGAGCCTTCGAATAAGCGAGATGATGGAGCCGGCCCCTGCAACGGGTGGCTGATTGTTTCATGTCTACCATCGTGTACTAGGGCCTCCAGTACTCGTCATCTTCTCACTATGACGGAGTACGTATCTAGGAATTCATGTTAAAATCCGCCCGCAATGGGTATCTAATGGACCGATTACGAAGTGCACGGAATGACTTTGCGAACTTTGTTGGCTAGTCTTATTGCACCTGTCTCATGTTTTTCCTATTACCTCCAGTTCGCAAATTAAAACGGCCTGCCTTTCATTTAACAACCATGCGAATTGGGACGGCACGCATCAAGAGATGAGAAGTCTCTGGTGAGTATCGAGATTTGGCCGTGTAAGAGGCAGAAACCGATCCGTGGTCCGTAGTGTTAGCACTGCATCCTAGAGAATCCAGTAGCCTCACTGTGTGATGTGATTTCTCTACTGTAAGTGCCTGAATGCAATCTCAGCTTTGATTTTGCACGACTGATCTAACTGAAACATTGCCTACTTATAACTCAAAAGCTGATCAACACTGACTATTTTTTGTTTCAGACATGCACATAAGATGAGTAAGGCAGTTCCGGCCCACCCTTAGTTCCGACCCACCCGCAGTCCCGACCCAACCTATCCACTTAATCCAGAACGGTCTATTTTAACAGTTCATGCTGACAGGAGTGGTCTTGATTACTACTGAAATAGTACCGAAGCACAGGCTTAGTCACCGCATGATTGAAGTATAGGGGGAAATCATTGCTAGAGCTACTTGCTTACATAATGAAACAGTGTTTTCAAGAATAGATAAGAACTATTTTCACAGTTCCCATTACAATATTTTCCTTTTCATTTCATAACGTATCTTACCAATTTATTAACTAAAGATTAAACATGCTATATTTTATTCTTAAACATTAACTAAAATATTAGTAAAAGTAGTAACTATAATCAAATCTATATTTTGTTGTAAGAAAGTTGTAGAGAATATAAATATTATTTTTCTAGTAAGAAAGATAAATCACTAAGAAAGAACTTTAATGATTCGAGAAAGAGCTATCAAGCAACTAAGCAAACAAGCTAAACTTATTTTCTTAGACACAGCCGTGTTAAAAAAAGACACTACTTTAGCAAGCTAAGACGAATAGAGCTTGATTTCTACGTAAGTTCTACCTCTAGTAAGTATATTAGCAACGTGTATATTATCCCATATACCTCTATAGCTCTACTCTAGCGATGTACCTTGTATAGTCCCTTTTTACTAGAATTGCTAGACCATCACATAAGCGCTGGTATAGGACTTACCTACCTTGGCCCAGTCTAGGATTAGAGAGATATATCCACCAACCCAGTGTAACGAACATCTAGAGGCCAAAACCACATGCTAAAACCAATTAACAGGATGTGCCTAGGCAATAGGAGTTGCGAAGGAGTTATTAAGATGCGAGATTAAAAGATTCAAGCAAAACAGTCCCTCACTTGAAGCAAAGTTAGACCCCTATACCTATAGCTTAAGACGAACCATCAATAAAAGCCTGTTCAAATTTAGCTGTGTTACATAGTAATGACTTAGTACAATCGACGGTAGGAAATAAAAACATAGTTGTAGCTAGCTGAATGTTGGAAAATAGGGAAAAAAAAAGATACAGAAGCTCTCTAGCCGAGAGGTAAACCTTGGTTTCCCGTGGTTTGCCTACGTGAATGGACAAGCTGAAATTTCTGTTTGAGGGTATATAGGCTTACGCTGATGCCCCAATTCTAGTTACTAGTTCCGGACCATAGGAACATGTGACAAAGTACAATCACCACTCTTTTTCTATACGCACCGTGGCTGCATCATGAAGGCCTCGCCGTTGCGCTCTTCGTGCCCCCTCCTTCCATTGCTTTCCTTTCCCTTCACTTCCTTTCCCACTATATCTACTACATCGCTTATTACTACCACTACATACATACCTTCACCTATGAATCATTTTTGAACTACACTCCAGGCGCCTGTTTTGTTGTTCCAACTCTATTTATTCTTCCAAAGGGCCTCGTGGAAAGAGCAAGTCCACTAACATAGCTAACTTGCAATCACTTGCTGAACAAGGTGATCGCGAAATTACTGCAGAAGACATCGAGAGATTGCTCACCCCCGAATCCTTGAGACAACGCAGATATGCAATTGAGCTATAGATAACATAATCTTAAGCTAGGCTACGAGATCCTGCCTAGCAAATTCAGGGTCTCAGAGCAAGCCCTAAAAACACACATGCGAAACAAAACCTTATTTCTACAACCTCTTCCTGCATAAAACATCCGACCACTTCTTGTTTAGTATAACCGGACCAGTGAAGAGTAAATTTTCAATATAGTAAAGAAAACAAGATCTCGAACTGTCCTAGATGTCTCAAACAAGCTATTAAATTGCACACCAACTTGGTCTACTGCACAGCCAAAACCAACGAATTTGTCTATGATGTCAAGAAGCTACCTCTACATTCTGAACAACTATAAAAAAAATAGTACAGCAAGCCTTTAGCAGCGCTACATATTAGCAAGTGTGTTCTTCGCTTTCTATAGGCATGCGATGGATATTAATCCTAATATCCTGGCACACGGAACTTCAGCCTACGTTTTCTATTCTATTGTTGACTATAATAGGACAACGCCTAGGAGACTTTTTCTAGTTATGAAACTGGAAAGAACAAATAAAGAGCAGCTTCATCGTGAAGTGCAGTTGATGAAGTCTTTAGGAGACCACACTGGATTCGTGTTACACGTAAAATCATAGAATTGTAAGGGCTACAGAAATAATCAAAACCATGGGTACAAACTGCAGTGTTCCTTGTGAATTGAATACCGAATGTTGACCAGAGCTTAACGCATTGATGCTTCCCACTGATGAGCCAGGAGATTCATCACCTGATTTGATCACTCACTGCATTGCGCTTGCACTCACAGACGATGTTTTTGAAGGATGTAACTTATTCTCAAACCTTCAGTCAAAGGAACTGCTACCATATAGCTCTATTTACGTATTCTGCTACAATACGAATGAAGGAGATCTGCCAATTCTACGGAGTGCCCTACAGGACGCATCAATATCACCTACATAGATGATTACCTATTATTGCTTCTATACGATGATTCGAAATCTTGGCCAGAGGGCGGGCTACAACGATAAATTAACTTCGTACTGCTTCCCTCCTGGCTATGGAAATGCTATAGATAGTACGTATCTAGATACTCTTCGCTCTAGACGCACACTAATAGTCGTAGAAATTGTCACAGCCGCACAGAGACGGCAGTTAATAGGACACTTAAATGACGGCGTCTCCAAGTCCTATGTTATCGACGATTGGGACCAATACACAAAGAGCTATCTTGCGGAGAGAACAACGCGTTAACCTTATCAACAACTACAATTCGATGATACTCCACTGTAATTTGCCGGCTCCTATGCCTTCCAGATCCCATCTCACAGAGAGGAACTCACAGAAAGCGATTGAAGACTGAGATTTAGAACTTTCGTACGACAAACAAAGACATCCAAAGAAGAAAGTATTCTAGGAAGAGCAGCAATAGTCTTTGAAGGCGAGGCTATTATGTGTGGATTGATATCGACCAAAGCTGTCCCGACACTATCGCAGCATCTCAAGGCGCTATTTGAATTTCAGATAGGATGTTATATACTTGTCTATCTAATTTACCTAGAAATTGAATTAGACGACGATAAAGAAGGCTCGGAGGGCCTTGCTAACGCGAGTCGTGAGATAGTTGGAAAAAATCACTTCCACTCAGGATTCTAAAGACGGCGAGCATGTTTCACTTGAGCAAATATCACATTTACTTAAGAATATTGCAAACGTACCAAAGCTGTGTTTTGTGTATAAATGTAGGGCGACTCTGAAAGGTAACTGTTGTAGTGTCTGTAACAACCAACTCGGGAGGTATACTCACGCATCTGACTGAATTGCAAATGCACTAATAGCTTCGAGGGGGCGTCTTAACCTATTGGAGTGCTTTCTGCTCCGTTGTGTGCCGAAGAATTTCACATGCACAAAATCTTATGAGTAAAAGATTTGCATATATTAGGTTGTTTCACTGGAATGACTACCATTTCAAGTTTAAGGACCAAGGTTGTGGGAAATATTCACTCCATGTGACTAACCACATCATAGAGAAGAAACCCTATCACTGTTTTTGGAAAAGACGCCGCAAGTCATACTCAACGAACATGGGTGCCAGCTGAATGGACGACACACAAAGAGATGGACTACTATTGTGAGCGTAACCTGTAGTCTTAGTTAGATATGATGTGGGCGCACACCTAAGAGGGAGGCATCTTCTCCAACTGAACGACTTCTGCGGCTTAGTTCGCCAAGATGGCATCATGCTGACCGCAGCGCATTGCCTGTTCTGTGTTATTGCAGCCGACCTCTCTAATCAGTCTTTGCAGTTTTCTGATGCATGCGTGTTACGGCAACACATGAGAGCGCATTCAAAGGATGTTGTTTATCCACTCCAATGTCCTCACCCTTCATGTTCAGTCAGACTGCACACTAAAGACCCTTTTTGGGCACACGCAGCGTCTGTGCATGGAACAGTGCCTGCTCACCCACCTTGAATAACCAGTAAGCGCCAGTCGCTATGTAGGAACAGCGACCCACAGCAACAATCGCGCGTAGTTA